CATTCAGAACCCAAATATCTCTAGTCATCATTAGTCTGCAGTAAAGATAAGATCCTCTTGATTACAATAGCTAAAATGCCACCGCAGCTTCTAATGGATAACCCACACATAGCCACAGGAAGCTCATTCCTGCTCAGGGATGCCCATGTATCACCTGTTAGCTGCTAGAAGTCACTTTTCTGGTCCCCCATCCACTATTAACACTACTTCTCTCAGTAAATAGAGATTATCTGTCCTTACCAATATCCTCTGGGTACCATCATCACACATCAATGTTCTTTTAGTAGGAAGTTAGGACTGGCTTTCATGTGGGAGGACTTTCATCACACCTAGACTCTAAATGTGAATCAGGTAAGGTCATGTATATGCTTAAGCAGTAATGCCAGACACCCAAATCTCTAGGAATCCTTCATAAATACAGCACCTTCCATTTCCACTAACCTCTGTCTCTCCACAGAGTTCAGACAAAGCAGCAATCGCTCCTCCTTCACCTCTGCCCCTGGAGATGACCTAGGAACCCAATTTCTTTATGCAGACTCCCTTACCTCCATGCAAATCTGTAAGGCCCATATTCAGTCATGATTGCCAGTGTAAAATCCTTTCTTACTCCATTAAAAGCCAAATCCTCAATATCAAGGAGATTGTGTGATTTAAAATCTCACTGTTTTCTAGAAACACCTCAGGGTCCTTTTCCATTCAATGCAATGAGGGAAACTTGTAGTTACTAATGTCTAGGCCTCTCAGATTTCAGGGGGATCTTTAATAATCCTTTCAAAAACAAATTATTTACTGCTTTGAATTTTTTCTCTTTTTTTTGAAACCACATGTTTTCAATAATAGAAGGTATTTTGAATGAAATACAACAAATCTTTCTGAGACAACATGGATTTTGACATAATTAATTGGTGGTGGTGGTGACATGCCATGGAGTCAGTTCCGACTCATAGCGACCCTGTATACAAGGGTTTCTGAGGCTGTAAATCTTTACGAGAGCAAAAAGCCTCATCTTTCTCCTAAGGAGCAACTGGTAGTTTCGAACTGCTGACCTTGCAGTTAGCAGCCCGACTGGTAACCACTAAGCTACCAGAAAACAAAAACCCTTGCTACCAAGTAAATTCTAAGCAACTGTATAGGGCAGAGTAGAACTGCCTCATAGTTTTCCAAGGCTGTAAACCTTTATGGGAGCAGACTGCTACATTTTTCTCCCACAGAGTGGCTGGTGAGCTTAAGCCATTGATCATTTGCTTAGCGGTCAGGTGCTTTAACCAGTGTGCATCACCAGGACTGAATTGCCAGATGGCAGCATGCACTAAAAGAGGGATAGCAGTTCCTCACTAAATCCCAGAGGCAGAAAGTATAGCTGCGCATTATATGTCTCATCGGTCATAAATAGGTTTAAAACATTGTTCCAGGACCTGCGGCACAACCAGATGCACATAACATGCTTCCTGCCCTAGTGGAACTCATAGTTTAATGGAAGAGACAGACTATTCTATTATCGATTATTTAGGCAACCGTGGCTTGGGATCTAGGGATATAAATCAGACTATAAAGGTCAAAAAGAGCCTTGGTGGCATTGTAGGCTAAGCATTGGGCTGCTAATCACAAGGTCAGTGGTTCAAATCCACGAGCTGCTCTGAGGGAGCAAGATGAGGCTTTCTATTGCCATACAGATTTATAGCCTCAGAAACCATATCAGATTCCTTATAAGTCAGAATCAACTCCACAAAACTGAGTTTAGTGTGTTTATAGGGTCAAATAAGGAAATTCTGAGAGCAATAAATGTATGAAGACCAGTTTTAAAGAATATGAAAAGTTACGTAGATAACAAAAGATGGGATGCAATTGAGTTTTTCCTAAAAGAAACACATGCGCAAAGGTTTGAAGAGTCTGGGAAACCCCAAGTACTTCCACAGTATCCTTGTTATTAACAAGACGAGGATTTCAGTTACTGTAACAGGGATAGGACAGGGTGTCATCTCAATGGCAATTAACAATGATCAGAGCTGAACATTTACTATAATGAGAAAGACATCTTATATATATTTGCTCTCCAATTTATATTTTAAAAAATAAAATAAAGTCTGAATGTGAACATTTCTTTATTGTGAACTAGGAGCTACTTGCTCACCAAGACTGGAGTTGCCAGCAGACTTTGGATTCTTTGCTGCCTCAGATAACCCTTCTCTGGTCCTCACTAGTTCAGACCTCAAATGTGTACACATTTATTAGAATCCTGTGTTTTTCTTGCATCCTGGTGTGACGCTGTGGGTTAATGCACTGGACTGCACAGTTGGTTTGAACTGCAAAGCCAGCAGTTCAAGCTCACCAGCCGTTCCTTGGAAACCCTATACAAGGTCCCTATGGGTTGAAACCAACTTGATGCCACTTAATAACATTTTTCTTAATCACAGTTTATTAAATATGTGTGTGTATGTATGTGTGTGTAAGGAGGCCTGGTGGCACTGTGGTTTGCTTTGGGCTGCTAACCACAAGGTCAGCAGTTGGAATTTACTAGCCGCTCCGAGGCTTTCTGCTCCTATAAACATTTGGTGGTGGCAGTGTTGTGCCATGGAGTTGGTTCTGACCAGAGCGACCCTGCACAGGGTTTCTGAGGCTGTAAATCTTTATGAGAGCACAAAGCCTCATCTTTCTCTCATAGAATGGCTGGTAATTTTGAACTACTGACCTTGAGATTAGCAACTGGATTTGTAACCATAAAACTGAACATACAGCTTTAGAAATCTTGGGAGGTTGCGGCAGTTTGGGCTATCTAATCCAGTTTAGTTAAGTAAGAGGCTGACAGTCAGGGAAACGATTAGAATACGGTGAGATGTTCTGAGATCCAAATGCCAAGAAAGAGGCTGACACTCAGAATAAACCTCAAGCCAAATCCATTGCTATGATATCAATCTTAACTCATAATGGCTCTATAGAGGGTTTCTATGATTCTAAATCTTTATGAGAACAAACATCTCCCATGGAGGAACTGGTGGATTTGAACCACCAACCTTAGCAGCTTAATACCTAATCCACAGTGCCACTAATCTCCTTGACACAAAGACTGTTGTTGTTGTGCACTGAGTTGGTTCCTACCCATAGAGGCCCTATATAGGGTTTCTAGGAGAGACTGGTGAGCTTGAACCACTGACTTTGCCGACTTTGCAGTCCAATGCATTAACTCCACAATGCCACACCAGGGCTCCAACGACTAGGAGCTTTCAACTGATGTCTGGGATGGAAAGAGAACTAGGTTTTTCCTGAAGGGTATCAGCTAGTGAAACATGCAGGACAAGCTATGTAATGTATAGGGTCCAGTCCAAAATGACAATATGGGCTCTCATTAATAACTCAGTGACCTAAAGCAAATCTTGCTAAAAATTACTAAGAATTTCAGTGGGATGACTTCTCCGCAAACACCCACTGCCATAGAGTCAATTACAATTCATAGTGACCCTAAGTAGGGTTTCCTAGGCTGTTCTTTATGGGAACAGAAAATCAGGGGAGCAATGGTGAATTCAAACTGCTGACCTTACGGTTAGTAGCCCCACATATAACCAACGATCCCACCAGGGCTGTTTGTGATGACAGTGAAAGTTAATCCAGATGAAGGGCCGTGTATGCACACAGGCTGTAGACTCAGGAAGCTAAGATTACAAACATGTACAGTAAATCAAGAAAATCTAAACATAAGCTTACAATTTTCTGTTAGAAAACTAAAGAGGCAGTTTTGTATAAGTGAAAATAAATTAATATACAGGTGTATTTTCTTTTCCTGTACACTGAGGTTATGTCTTCAAAAGAAAATGGATTCATCTCTTGCTTTAATCAATACATCCATCTTTGTTTCTTTTGAAAAAATTCTAATGAGGCAGACAAGTTTGCCCATCTGTGAACGGATTTGAATTCACTTTTAAATTGAAACCCCCTTAAGGTTTTTAGTTATGAAGAATGAACCTGGGTTGGAGTCTCTATAGTTCAAAAGCATGGACTCTGAAGCCAAAGTGGGCTCAAATCCCAACTCCACCATTAATAACTCAGTGACCTAAAGCAAATTCCATGGTCTCCCTAAAGCCCCAGTTTGCTCATTAATAAAATGGAAGTGATAGTAACTAGTTACATAGGGTGCTTGTGATGTGCTTGCTGTAGGATAAGCACTGTGAACCCCAAGGTCAGCAGTTCAAGCCTACCAGCTGCTCCTCGGAAACGCTATACTGGGTTGCTGTAAGTAGGAATCCAGTAGATGGCATGTAACAACAAAAACAACAATAAATAAGGTAAGGAGTGCAAACGGTGTAGCATAATAAATGTACAACAATATAAGGGCTAGGTGTCCATATATCCATACATACATTGCTTTATCTCCACTTCTGACTCAGGCTGAAAGCAGAAAAGAGTGACCTCACATCAGGCGACGCCAGATCCAGTTTTGCTCTCTTGCCCTGAACTCTATATAGCTTAGTTAAATCACTGTCCCTCTCAGAGTCTCTGTGTCTTGGGGATGAAGAATGGAGGGAGTTGGAACAGGTGGTCCCTCCTGGCCTCATTATTCACTGTTGTCTATTCATTTCACCTTGGTCTGCATTTTCATTGTTCCTTGGAAAGAATCACCCTGACCCGGTGCCTGTAGGCGCCCAAGCTTCCAACAGAGTCTCCCGAGGGCTCTCCCTCTGGCCTGCCCTCACTACTCCCGCATTGACCGCGCAGCCCCGCCCCGCCCCGCCCCGCAGCCATCTCCCGCTTCCCCTCCCCTCCTCTGGTGGGCAAGCCCGAACCCGCTCGCCTGCTGCAGGGTGGCAGTCTCGATAGTGCAGTCGCCAGCGAGGTAGCCCTGGGCGCGGAGGGGCGGGGCGGGGCGGGGCCTCGCAGTCTTTCCCCCCCCTCCGCCCGCGGGAGTGCTGGGGAGGTGGGCAGGGCCCGGTGGGGGCGAGGCCCTAGCAGGGCAAGTCGGCGCCTCGGCGAGGATGGGAGTCCCCGGAACCTGGAGCTGAGCTGTTCCTTCGGAAGCCCAACACCGTTCCGTGCGGCCACGATGATTCCACCGAGCAGCGCCCGTGAGGACGGCGTGGACGGGCTGCCCAAGGAGGCGGCGAGCACAGATCAGCCGCCCTCTCCTGCATCCACCGGCAGCCAGGAATCCAAGGTACCGCGCATACTTGCCCCAAGAGAACTCAAACTCTGCTTCCTTCTCTCTGTAACTCTGGTGCTGGCGCGAGGGGCTAAATAGGTCCCACCAGGGTTCAAGGACTGTCACTCCCTTGAGACTTGAATGTCCAGTAGGACTCTCTGCTAATGATGCTGGACCCGACCTCTGCGCTGACACAGACGCAAGGCTTTGTGCTAGGTTGCTTCTACCTTGTGAGCACTTACAATTCTCACTGACCTGGGCTGGCTCTGAGGATCGCTTTCTGGAGTGATGTTGGCTAGGTTGTTCTGTGCTTGATCCTCCTGCTCATGCCCAAAGTGCATGTAGGTAGGTGTTAGGCAGTTTCTGGAGGCTGAGGGAAAGAGACAGCTGAGGGAAGATTCTCCAGAAAGCTTAGCACTGGATCAGCCAAGGGTGACTGTATCTCAAGTGTCTCAGAGACCCTTAGCCTGAGCAAGGGATCATTCTCTAACTTCACATGCTACTTATTTCAGGAAAAAAACTAGACAATAAACAGGGAAATATCACCTTCGCGGTAAAGTTAATGTCTGTCTTGTGGAAGTTAATACTCACATAACTTAAACTCCCTTTTATGAGGAGTCATACAAACACACTTACACAAAACCAGCTCCACAACACTTACCCTGTCATTGTTGCACTCCCTCTGAAGCTCGGGTGGGTGCCAGGCACATGTTTGAAAATCTTGGAAGAGCATCAAGTAAAATGCTGCTGCTAGTAGTATGAAACTTAATGGTAATTCAGCCAGGAGTGAGAACTTATCCTGGTTTGGCGCTGTGGGTTAATGCACCAGATTACACAGCCTTTTGAACTGCAAGGTTGGCGGTTCAAGCTCACCAGCTGCTCCTTGGAAACCCTTTACAGGGTTGCTATGGGTTGGAACCGACTCAATGGCACTTCACAACAAACAACAACAAGTTATATGGTTCTTTATACAGATGTATTTGTGAATTTTCCAGGCATCCTTGGAATGTGGGGCTGTCCTAGTGAGTGAGCAAAGGTAAGGGGGTCACCAGTTTGGAGGGCATTTCAGATAGGGAAAGGAGAAATCCAATCCCTAAACCTTCAGTTCCAGCCATTGATCAAATCAGCTGGGTCAGAAATCTCAGTCTGGAAGCTCTCAGGATTAAGTGTGACACTGGCACTGCCCATTTCCTGGCCCTCAAAATCAATCTTCTAAGACAGGGAGTTTTATTTAAACATTTTTATGTGACATTCTGGCTACCTCTCATAGGGCATGTGTACCAACTTTTCTAAAACTCACTTCTCTCACCTGGAAATGTCAGAAAAAGTCTCCACCTTCTAAAATCACTGTAATGAATATTTGAGATGATATAATATCCACCTCTTGTACAATCTAAGGACTCAGTCAATGTTTTACTCATTGCCTTCCTGAAATAACGAGACAGGCTCCATCTCACCACAGATGATACACTTCAAAGCAATCCCACAGTACCCTACATGTACCTCTCTCTTCTAGCCTGGAGTTTCTGGGTGCCTCGTCATTGTCTGCCATTGGCCTTCAGTCACCTAAGTGTGGACTATGGTGGTTTTGTGCTGTAGAGTAAGTTTCAACTTATAGCGATCATCGATAGGGTTTCCAAAGCTATTAATTTCTATAGAAACAGAAAGCCTCATCTTTCTCCCATGGAGCACCTGGTACCTTCGAACTACTGACTTTATGGTCAGCAGCTGGACTCGTAACCCACTACGCTACCAGAGCTCTTTAAGGGATATGGGTTAGTGACCATTTATAAAACGTGACATAGAGTTCTATAAATGAGAGTAGCTAAACTCAAGAGTGAAACTGATATTAACTTTGTGATTTGGGCCTGTTACCCTGCAATAGGTGTGGGAAGGACTTAGCCTTTGGGCAAACAGAGGCAAGTTTCAAGCAAACTGTACCAATTTGCCATTTATGTATTTAGTGTCTTCAGGTAAAGTCTTTGGCAAAACAAACTCTGGCTTACAGTTTTGGATTTTTAGTGTATCAGTTTTTCTCAAATTGGTCTACATACCCAATGAGTGTTTATACCTTCCTAAATGTGTTCCTATGGTTTAAATAGAGATGAGGACATGGGAGGGTCCTGTGAACTTTAGGAAAATGAATGCAGACTAGTCTGCCTGAATGTGCGTTTTTCTTGGGAGAGAGGCATGCCATTCATGATTATTTTTAAAGAAGTTCACACACCTCCCAAAGGCTAACTAGCGTTCTGGTGGGTAGGAATGTGCTGTGAAGGGGCAGAATGGCATGAAACAGAAGCAACAAAACGTGCTCTTCATTCTCTACCAGGAACGCCACGCTTTAAAGCTCATTGCCATTAACAAGGATCCTTCCACACTGAAGATGAGAGGCTAGTGAGGGAAATGTGCATAGACATTACAAATAATTCCATTTTACTCTCTTCTGATGTGGTCCGTTTGTCAAAATACTGCATGGAAACAAACATGATCAGGGTCCCCTGGGCATGAAACTTGCTCAAGGAAGACTTTTAAAAATGATTTTTTCATATTTTAAAACTTTTTATACCCTGGTTATAAAAGTTGTAGAAATTGAAAAGGAAAAAAAAAAAAATCACCCATTAGCTAACTGTCCAGAGGCAGCTACTGTTACCATATCAATCATGTTGTTGTTAAGTGTCGTGGAGTGGGTTCCAACTCATAGCTACCTGGTTTAGGGTTTCAAAGAAGCAGCTGGTGGGTTTGAACCGCTGATGTTGTGGTTTACAGTCTAGTGCTGATCCTACAGTGCCATACCAGGAGTGCTTATCAATCTAGAGTTTGTGTTTTTTCATCTATTTTTATCTTTACATAGTTGAGAGAACACTAGTGAACATCTACTGAATACTTAGTACATGCCATTCATGACTTTAATATTCACAGAACCATATGAGGGTTACTCTGTAATTATCTCCATTTTATAGAGAGTGAAGGTTAGATGACTTACCCAAGATCGCACAGCTAGTGGAAACAGGACAAGGCCCCTTGCTACCCCTGAGTGGCTCTGGAGCCCAAGCTCTTAAAATTGTGCAACTGCATCTCTTGCTTGGGTTTTATTTACATCCTCCGCTGTAGGATAAGCACTGGACTGCAAGATCGGTTTGAACCACAAGGTTGGTGATTCAAACCCACCAGCTGTTTCTCAGAAACCCTATACAGATTAGTTGGAAGTGACTTAAAGGTACTTAACAAGAGCAACATTTCCCCCTAAGAAAATAATCCAAGCATTTTTCACCCCACTGAAAGTCATTTCGTTCTGCTGTGCATAAGGTCACTGTGGGTCAGTACCGACTCGATGACACCTAAAAACAAAAGTCATTTGCAAGATTGTTTTTGGGTCCCTCCATTTATAAAAACCTTTGATAATAAAATTAATTGAGCTAGATTATCATGTGAAATGATGAACAAGTCTTTGCATCTTGTTTTGCTACTCTTTCCCTGGAAGTATATTTATGAAAATAATGAAATGATATATCACAGAATCATCTGGAAAATGGGGCCACTACAGACTCTCCAGTTCAGACAGTCCATAGGAAAAGGAGGAACCAATTCCTTGGGTGCCATGAGTACATAAAATGTGTCCAAAAATACATTTCCCTAGAAGAGATTTTAAAATGCTAAACAGAAACAACATGCAAAATTGTGTGTGTGTGTGCATATACACAAATGCTCAAAAACTTTTTGGAAAAACTGGAGTTAAAAGATAATGAGAAATTTCCAAGAACTTTTTGAAGCCTCCTTGTATATTCTTGTTGTTGTTAATTGCTGTTGAGTCCATTCTGACTTTTAGAGATGCTGGCTGGTGAATTTATACCACTGATCTTTCAGTTACCAGTCCAGTGTTTATCCTATAGCGCCACACCAGCACTTAAATATGTGCATTGTCTATGGAGAGGACCTGTAGCATAGATCAGATCAAAAAGTGTAGGGACCCATCAACGGTTATTTATGTATGTCTTGCCCTCTCACTTTTGAGGAAAACAAGGCTCAGAAACTTGCCTAATATCATACAGATAAAAACCAGTTACCACTGAGTTGACTCCAGCTCATGACAACCTCAAAGCGGTCTCTAATTTTGTTGTTAAGTGCCCTCAAGTTGGTCCTGACTCATAGTGACCCTGTCAAAGATTTCCAAGGAGTGGCTGGTGGGTTTGAGTTCCTGACCTTGCAGTTCAAACTAACCTTGAGGTCCAGTGCTTTAGCCTATAGCGCCATAGATTATTTTTTATTCCTGTAGGGAATAGAACTGTGTTCCACATGGTTTCAATGGCTGATATTTTTAATGTAAGGCCTTTCTTCCCAGATGCTTCTGGGTAAACTAGAACCTCTAGCCTTATAATTAGTAGTTGAGTGTGTGAACCATTTCCATCACTGAGGGAGTTCATCTCACAGATAGTTAACTGGCAATGGCCTTATTTATGAACTCTATCTTGGACCTCAGATATCACAGCACAATTTCCTCAGAGCAAACTCCTCCAAGCCCAAGTTGATAAGATTGTTTATATGGCTTTTCTTTTTCTTAAAATTACTTAAGTTGAAAAGTTTGCAAGCTGCTTACATACCTTACAAACAATTTCAGAAAGACAACAGCCTGATTTATTTCTTAAGTGCCTGACAGGTGCAAGTAAATACAAAAGAAAAATTCATGTCTGAATATTTCTTAATAGTGAATGTCTTCTTTCCTATTTACTGTGAATCACATGGAGAGCTTGCTGGTGCGTAACGGAAAGGTTTGGGATGGTGCCCTTTGCCATCCCCTTATATGACCCAAGGGCAGATGTTGATTATAGGTATTGAGGGATTATAGGTTTTAAGATCAAGTAAAGCAGAATTCGAATCTCTTCTTGTACAGCATTTCTGTGCTCTGTGACATATCTCTATGGTGATGAGCTCATTGCCTCAACTTTATCATTTCTGGAATAGGGATGCTGACATGGCATGATTTTTATAAGGCCTGTGAATAGGTGAAACACCTTATA